TGAAGAAAATTAATAGCTTGCCAAACAAATAGCAAAGGGAATACACACTCTATTTAAATAGGGTGGCTGCTGTTCTAGCCCTTAACAAACACTCACACATCCGCAAACAATTCATATGCTAATTCCTAATGATTTTTACATGTTCATTAAGTCCCCAGCTACGGCTATTTATCGATATGATTATTACAGTTTGAGCTGCTTCAAAGGCAGGGTTTTCCGCTGATCATGGACTTCTTAGGTACAAACTTTTTGAGGCTGAGAGATTAACAAAGGAATTAAGGGGACATCTAACAATGCAACTCTCCTTTATGGGGTTATGAGCGAGGTCTCCTGTATGTCTTTGACATTATTGATTCCTGGGGTGTGTGTGGGGGTGTCCTGCCAGGTATTATATGTCGAGGTCTGACTGTGCTGAACTTGTTTTGTTTTTCTTAGGATCATCCCTGTTAGAATTTTCATTCTAAATAGTTACTCACATTCCTGCCTTTCTCTCTTTCTCCCTCTCTCCCCCGTCCAGCCTCTCTCTCTCTCTCTCTCTCTCTTTCTCTCTCTCTCTCTCTCTCTCTGTGTGTGTGTGTGTGTGTGTGTGTGTGTGTGTGTCCCTCTGTTTTACTCAGCTTCAGCTGTCAACTTGACACATCCCAGAGTCACCTGGGAAGAAGAGGCAGTCTCAATTTAGGAACTGCCTCCCTCATATTGGACTGTAGGCAAGACCTCTGATGGCATTTCATTGATTAATGATTAATAAAGAAGGGTATAGACCACTGAGGGTGGGGCCATCTCTGGGCTGGCGGTCCTGGGTTCTATAAGAAAGCAGGCTGAAAAAGCCATGGTGAGCAAGCCAGTAAGTAGCTTCCCTCCATGGCCTCTGCATCACCTCCTGCCTCCAGGTTCCTGCCCTGTTTGAGTTCCTGCCTTGACTTCCTTCAGTGATGGAGTGTGACTTGGGAGTTTGAGAGGAAACACTCTTTCCCCCAATGTCACATATGATCAGCAACAGAGAAGCAAACTAGATGATCCTTTTCTTTTCTTTCTTCTCCCCTTGGTTTCTTTCTTACTTTTCCTGCCCCATCCCCTCTCTCGGGGTCTCACCATGCCATCCAGACTGATGGTGAACTTAGAATCCTCCTGCTTCAATGACCTGAGTGTGGCACTGCAGGTGTCCACCACCAAGACTGGGTTTCCTATTTTGTTCTTAAGGAATTATTGATGTGAACTATAAATTATATAATTACTATAGATTTGATAAAACTCAGGTGAGAGTATGGCATTTAAAGGGGGGAGTTTAAGGCTGCCAATTCCCAATGTTTCCTGTAAAAACAAAAGGCTATTCTTTTTTTTTTTTAAGACAGGGTTTCTCTGTAGCTTTGGAGCCTGTCCCAGAAGTCACTCTGTAGACCAGGCTGGCCTCAAACTCACAGAGATCTGCCTGCCTCTGCCTCCTGAGTGCTGGGATTAAAGGTGTGTGCCATCACTCCTCTGCTGCACAGGATATTCTATAAGGTGTTTATGGATCAATTCAGAATCCAGATTTCACTGTGCCCAACCCCCAACTCAACAACCAGAGAGGAAAAAAGTAACCCTTCCATGCTGGTTGATCTCAGTTGTCAATCTAATGAGAGCTAGAATCACTGGGAGGGGCCTCTGGGAAGCCCATGGGAAATGACCTTCATTAGATTCATGGAAGTGGGAAAACCACCACAGTGGATGACACCATTCCCTAGGTTGGAGCTGTGGGAGCCGGGCCGGAGTGTTATCACTCTGTCCTTGGTTATGGAGTCAGTGTGATCAGTTGCCCATAGTTCCTACCCTCTTGAGTTCCCCACCATGTGGTTCTAGACCCTTGGACTATGAGCTGAAATAAACCCTTTCTCCCTTGAGTTGCTTTTGGGGGTATTTTATCACAGTAAGAGGAAGAAAAATTAAGCCACTCACACAGAGAGGGAACTACGGGCGGTTATCCCCACTTGACCTCACATGTATTAATTTCACCTGAATTTAGTAGCCTGTCCAGAGCTGAACTTTCAAAATGTCAATTGTCAGCATTATTTGAGGGAGAAATGAAACAGAACCAGAGAGTTTGTGTTTCCTTTTAGCCACCATGAGCTTCCTTATAGGACAAAGGTCTATCGAGCAAGCACTGTATGCCACACACATTGCAGAGTTTCACCTGGCCCGGTCCTCACACAGGCTTCGATAGTGATAGGTGCAGATCTTATTTTCAGACTGACAAATGTGTTTGGTGAGGTATAGATTCAGGACAGGACCCCAGGTTCTCTGACATGTCAGTGACTTAAGCAATCACTATGTACCCGGCATCTCACTGTGCTCTGCCATTCCATTTGAGCCAGACATCTGTTCAAAATTTGATACGTGATAAAACTCTTGCCTCATCAAGAATGCCTCACACTAGGGGTGGGGAGGGGAGGGGCCAAGCGGGCATTCTGCTTAGAAAGCAATTGTCCGTCATACACATGCTACTGTGGAATCAACAACTTAAAATGCATACCTCAGTCCTAGTGCTACATTACCTTCAGCCAGAGACTTACCATATCCTGGAGAGGCTCATCCAGGGGAGGGACCCTCATCTATAATCGAATATTAAGTGTGTAACCAACAGGATTGGCTAGTGGTTCACTCACGCCTCCTGGATCGTCCCACAGGCATGGGTTGTGCCCATCCTCTGACTGAACTGGGCTTGGCTCAAATAACTAAACATTTCTGATGAGAACAAGTCCATAGCTTGTCTCAAAAAGAGTCACCGCTGAAGCTATGCAGCATCTTTCTCCTTTTTCCTTTGGAAACATGACATTTGCACCCTTCAGTGATACAGAGCATGGGAAGGGAACTGGAACTGCCCATTGCTGCTGCTTGCAGCTGATGTGGGTGAGAATGGGGATAATTCGGTCTTACAGTTAGTCTGTTGAAACAAAACCAAGCCCAGGTCTTTCTGGGGCCCTGGGTATAAATGCTCCCTTCAATCTCTTCCTGGGATTAGATAACACATCTCCAGACCATAATGTGTTCTACAGAGAGGAGCTGTCAATCATAGAAGTATTCTTGTATAATATCAATCAAGAGCTTCTAGAACTCTGACATAAACTTCAAGGGTGTTGTCAAGGAGGATAGAAACCCAGGACATTAAAACACATAAAGGGAAGAAAATACTGAGGGTATATGGAACTCTTGTAAAAGCCATACACAGATGAAATGGAAATTAATAAAAGCTGTAGGGCTAGAATGCCTCTCAGTCAATTCATATGACTGAAGCTATTTGGGAAAAAATGGCATGTTGGTGGATTCAGACAGTTAGACAGACAGGCAGGCAGACAGACAGAAATGCAGAACCATGAAGATTCTAAGTGTGCTAATATTAGGGACACTTTTCTAAATTAAAACAGCATAAGAACCTGTTTTCCTTCCCAATGTACCCCTAAATTAGAGAGAAAACTGTGGACCAAATACTTCTGTCACCAGACAAATTCCCCCTGGTTCCTCCAGCAAGGCCATTTTCTCTGGCCAGTACACCACTGATGTGCCAACAGTAGAAGCAAGAAGGTGAAGCCGGTGGCAGAAGACCAGGAAAATAAAAGCGCTGACGTCAAACTCTCTACAAAGAACCTCTGAGCAAGCAGACACGCACCAGTTTTAATGACATTTGATGTCACACACACCCTTCTCCAGCCCCTATCAGTGGGCTTCCCCCCTCTCCTGTGCATAAGCTGGCCTCTGCTTACAGGCTCCACATTCTCCTGGTCTCTCCTGCTTCCTGTCCATCCATTCCCCATGTAGGATGCTCCATTTGTCTAAAGACCTGTCTGAGCCTCAGCCGTAACAAAGAAAAGTTCCTGGGTGTGGGTTTGCTCTTTTCAGATATTTTTCTCCAATCAACCTTTGTCGACCCCATACTTGCCGGAAAGTTCAGTCTTAGTTGCTGCTAGACCAGGCATTCTGTCAGCATCTCTTTCCCAGACATGTTTTCAATCTATTCCCTAATGCTGCCTGCCAGGATTAATCAATCCTGCAAGTGGTCCCCCCAAGACCCACTTCTTCCCTTTAACTCTCAGAACCACTCAGCCAGCAGCACCAAGAGATGAGTTTTCATACAGCCTTGATTTTCCCTGACAGAGGCCACAGCCTTCATCTCAAACTCTTCTAAATCTAACGGTCTAAGAAAACACTGGGTTTTCCTCTGCCATGGAAGGCTTCTGTGTGTCCCCCCGCCCAAATCCTCTTCACCCTACATCCTGCTCTTGTTTTCCTACCTCTTATTTCTTCTCTTATTCCCCCCTCCCGTCATTTTTTTAGCAACACCCCAGGAACACAACTCATTCCAAAGTTCTAAGCCACCAGATTCTTAAAAATAAAACAAAACTTCCACAATTACCCTCATGCTGACTTTGAGCTCACAGTCTTGGTTTTGGATGCTGGAGAGGAAAAAATAATTCAACAGCAGCAGCAGCCTCAGCTAAGCATGGAGGAGGGTGCTGTTTGGGGTGTATTTGAAGGAATAGCATATGGGCTTTTGTCAAACGTTCAGAGTCCAGAGCCCAGAGCCCACTAGTTTCTGAGCTGAGGGTTAAAATACACTCTCTGAACACTGTCTGAGCTGAGTTCATGTTTTGTACAGCATCCTCCAGCACCTCAAATCCATCACTCTTTGCCCCCCAAACCTATGGGCTTGGTGATAGCTGGAAAAGTTTTCAGTCAAGTACATACCCGAGCCACACCGCCCACCCTAAGAAAGCAAAGGGGTTTTTGCATAGGAGGTGCGGAGTCTGTGGGAGTGTTGTTCCCTGCCAAAGAATTCTGTCCCCTTTCAACAGCCTCTTCCTTACTCAAGCGAATATCCCCCGTGTTCCAGCGTGAGATACTGGGTATGATGGGCATGGTCCAGGCACCCTGGCCCAGATGCCTGCGTCCACCTGTCAAGATTCGGGGGCGCAGACAATAAAAGGGGGAACCTTCCAATGTCCCCAGCCCACGAACGAGGTCATTACCTTGGCAGTGGCTTGCGGGCTGTGATACTGGCAACGATGATGCTCTTGGGATGTGTAGTGGCCACCGCTTTGAAGGTCCCTTTCCAGAACTTCTCAAACAGCTGTTTCTCACCCTGCTGAAGGCTCGCCATCCTGAAAGCCGGAGGAGTCCGAGAGACCGGGGCGCTGTCCGAAGTGCTGAAATGTGGATTCCAAACCCGATGACACGCCCTGGGCTCCGGGGCGCTGTCCGCGAGAAACCCCCAAGGGGTGGGGTGGGGAGGGGAGCGATCAGAGTTCTGTGCGGGGAGCAGGGGGGATGGGATAGAATGGGACGTCTCAGGCTGGCCAGGCAGAGGAGATTGAAGGTGGTCCCCCGGCTGGGTTCACCTCCTGGCTTGGCTCTAAGCTGCGCTGGGAGCCGGCTGAGCTCCGCGTCCTCAGCAAAGCAAAGCTGGGCCGGCTTTCTCTATCGCGCAAAGAACAGAGAGGAGGCGACCGGGGCGTCTGCCGTGCGTGCGCGTGTGAGCTCCAGCGCGCCCGGGTTTTGTCTCTTGCACAATGTGACGTTGGAAGAGGAGGCTGGTCGCGCGAGCTGTACTTTACTCCCTCCCTTTCTCGGTCTCCTCCTTCCCCAGCAACCCCTCCTTCTGTGGCTCAGCCTCCCGCCGCCATCTGCATAACAAAAGCCCGCAGGTCTGGGGAGGAGAAAGGGCGGGGCGTGCGCTTGTCTCCAAGGCTCGGTGGCCGCTGAGTTGCTGTTCTGACCTCTCTAAGAGACCTCAGCACCCGGAACAGAACCAAGTTGGACAACCTCGTCCCAGCCCTCCTCCGTCATCGTTGCCCTTCCCCTCAACCCTTGCTTGCGCACTCCCGGGGGCTGAGCCACCTCCCTATCCCTTTGCAAGACTTAGAGGCATCTTCCGTTGAGGGAGCTAGTAAAAACAGCCCCACCTATTCACCCACGCCAACCTGCCTTCACCCTCCCCACTTCTGGGAAGGACTGCTGAGGTCTGCAAAGTGGGGGTG